TTTAGAAATACTTTAATGAAGTTAATAACGAAGATCTGTGAGTATTGAGAATTTGAATGTGATTTTAAAATTGTCAAAACTTAGCAACCTGTGGAAGCCCCTGAATTAATATGTCAGACTCCCATCCTGATGACTCGAAATTAATTCGAGTTCTGAAATTGGCGTTGATGGGAGTCAGTGTTACCTAAGGAAATATTAAGCGGAGACCCGCTCGAACTCCTGTATTCAGCAGCGAAACTAGCGCCAGCCACTCATGACGTCACATGGGTCATAAAAAATTGAGAAATCTAGGTATTTAGGAACATACATAGGTGGATTTCAAGAAGCTGACATTAAAAATCTAAGTTAAACAATTGAGAATTTTGAACCGACTTAAAGCGATCAGGCACTTCCGCAGCGACATTACATCTTTTATAGCAAACTGTTGGACCGGCACTGATGGTACTTTACAGAATCCGGGAAATGTTAAGTCTCCCTTAAAAGAACAAAAAAAGGGACTTCAAACATTACCCGCAACCAATTTTCGTACAGTGCACCTACACGATTTGATAAGCACAAGTTTACGCAATTTGGTTCTGCTGTTGAAGATTAGCAAATATTGCTACTACCTCCTTGTAACCGTTACCACTTTTCATTTGGATAATGAAGAAATAACGTCTTCGTCCACCGACTTTCTTAGCGGACGTCACAACAGCAGTTTCCCAAGTTCTTTTTCTTGCACTCCTCTTCAAGGATTGGTTACCTGTAATTCTAATGATTGAGAAGTTTCATGTACGCGTTTTCTACGTTTAGCTTCTGGATTGTTGGATGAGTTCATGTTATTATTTTGGAACTCAAAATGTTTTAATAAATTGGAAGGACCGCGTGTTTATCATTGGATAGATTTCCTCTGCAAAGCTGTATACTTTGTTTAATCAATGATTTCGGTTTTGATAAACTAGAAATGATTGCAAATGTGTTGCCAAAGGGACGAAAAAGCTAAACTGATAGCTCAATTTTCGGAAACAAGTAGTGAGGTAACCGGATTTGCTGATTACGAAAATCGTGAGCGCTCCCGACTATGGGCCCTTACTTTAGGATTACCGTAGACGTACGCTAGAGAGTTAAGTTCGATTCGCCTGAAAAGCGGCCTGCCGGTATTAATTGGAATGCTGGTCATAAAAATTATATCCGTTTCCCGTGGTAAGCCTTTCACACGGCAGACATGAAATCATCTATCATTTCGTCTCCAGCAGATCAGTGCCTTTGACCTTAACAACGTATACGTAGCCTATTTTTACAGTTAGGGTTGGTTGCGCGATGTGAATAAGATTTGTAATCAGCATTTATCACCCCCCTAAGCCACTTTTCGGACGAATTCGTAATTTGATCGCTGTAGCATGCACCTATCACATTCTATATTAGAGAGTTATCGTGAGAAATGGATGTGATTTTTGTAAACAATAGGTTACCAACTACCCCAAGCGTCATTGTAGCAGCTGAATACCTGCTGTTTGGACAAATAAGATTGAGCTCTTGATCGAATTTTTTCGGCTCATTTGACCTTCAATTCTACTTACTTATCTTTTAACACGGCCGAAGTCACCGGATAAGCCAAATACCCTTATAGAGAACAATTTCCGTTTCCAGAACATATGTAATGTAATAGCTGAAGTTTCCGGTTTCCTAGAAACTCTTGAGTTTGACAAAACGACGCCACCTAACCGATCAACTAGATAGAATTAGAGAAAGCTGCTAAATATGAAATACCGTGCAGAGAAGCGCAGGAAGTTTTCGGACTATTGAACCTCTAGTGCATCCGTTCCATGACACATTATTTATTCAAGAGAGAACGCTGTATATTATTGTGTGCTAACAAGTAGTACTTTAGTGGGAACCAAGTGATTTTTGGGTGGACGAAGACGTGGAATAGAGATTTATTCACACGTACAGCTGGTAGAGTAGAACGAACAATATATTAAGTCAGGGTCCTTATAAGCAAGGGAGGCGGAGCTGACCCGAGCACATACTACATGTAAACGGGCTAAATGCTTGAAAAGAGGTGCCGCCGCGTGGTCGACATGTGGTGCACAAGTGCCACTCACTCATGAGTGATTGGATACTCAAGAATGTATGGCTAAGAAAGTAACCCATGGACTTCTCCATAAGCTATCAAAATATGGATTATATGGTTGATGACTTACAAAATCATCAACACTCCGGGCGAGTAAGGAAAAAAATACAAAATCTTTCATAAACTAAGAGCCATTACAAATGCAACCGTCATATGGAAAAGACCACAAATGAATACAGTGGCATTTTTTTACTCAATCCCTTCTTCTTATAGACATGTTCTACATGTCCAACGTCCATCTTCGCTTTGTTGCGACATTCTGCAACCTGGTGCCCTGCTACACAGCATAGCTCGCAAAATCGGGTGGCGGGGACTTTTGGGCACGCAGAAGTTTTCGTTTTTCGCTCATCCAGCAGGCTTTTCAGCAGTCCTGCAATTCGATCTTGTTGATCCTCAAGCCGCTGCTGCTTCTTTCCTTGGCTGTTCATGGCATCCATCATTGCATAGAACATCTTTTGCGTATCGTACTCGCGGTAGACCTCCAAATTATCTGTTTTGTAGGAGGCTCCTGCTC